GGCCAAGATGGCCGCCACGGCTGAGTCCCCGGCCAAGATGGCCGCCACGGCTGAGTCCCCGGCCAAGATGGCCGCCCCGGCTGAGTCCCCGGCCAAGATGGCCGCCACGGCTGAGTCCCCGGCCAAGATGGCCGCCACGGTTGAGCCTCTCCATGTCGCGACTCTCCCCAAGTTTTCCCCTAAGGATTTTTTTTTGGGGGGGGGCTATAGTAGCCAAGCTCCTGCGAATGTGGAGCTTGGGCCAAGACTCAAAGGACTGATTGCTAGTGTGATGGACCCACCTCTGATGTCGGTGCGAGCTGCAGGCATCCCGGCGACGTCAGCACTCTCAAGCCCCACCATCTTAGAGGTCATGCCACACTCTGCGGCCCTTCCTGTAATGGCGGTCGCCATTTTTAGTGTGTGGGCTGCACACTGCACACCTGAGTCCTCTCCTGTCCACGAGTCCGCTCCAAGGGCCTTTCCTGTGCCTCCAGAAGTGGTAGCTTCCGCTGCAGAACCTCCAGAGGTGGCGGCATCCGCTGCAGAACCTCCTGAGGTAGTGGCGTCCGCTCACGAACTCACTGTCTGTCCTGCCACGGCCATGGAGGCCGTCCATGAATTCACTGCCTGCCCGGTTACGGCCACGGAGGCCGGTCACAAACTCACAGACTGTCTTGCCACGGAGACCGTTCATGAACTCACTGCCTGCCCTGTCATGGCCATGGAGGCCATTCATAAACTCACTGTCTGTCCTTCCACGGCCAAGGAGGCCATTCAAGAACTCTCTGCTTGTTCGGTCACAGGCAAGTGGTCTGTCCATGTCTCTGCACCGCCATGGTGGTTGTCTTAGTCATGTGTCTTGTTTCCCATTGGTTTGTTCTTGTCATGTGACCCTCTTGTTTCCTATAAGTAGCTTCATGTTCCCATTGTGCCTTCGTTGTGTATTGAAGTTGTAACTCTGCTGTTGGTGTGTCTAGTCTGTTCATGTCAAGTTTGGATTATTGTTTGGATCACCTTGTAAATAAACTGCACTTGGGTTCTCACTACACTCGCCTCCAGTGGATTGATCATTACAGTATGTTTACAGACACAGAAATTTTCATTTTTCATTTTGCCAATAAAGCCTGTACTGCAGCAATTCTGTCACTTTTCTTTTACATTCTATTTTTTTTTTCAATGTATTTTTATTTCGAACTATTAAAAATAGAAAAGGAAAAAAACTCATAAATATGCAAATAAATACCAATAAACAAACAAAAAAAATCAACAAATACATATTATTATTATTATTTTTTTTTACATATATTCAACCTGTTCGAAATAAAAAAAGGGTAGGTAGAAGCCCTAGGCTTATTAAATCCTACCCTCAGTAATTACCAATACCAAATCACTATTCAGCCATAATAAACCATACCATTTTGAATAATACAAAAATACTAGCCCAAATTACATCCTACTTTAAGATAAAGAAGACAAACAGAAACAAAATCAAGCAGCATTGACAACAATGATGAAATTCTCACTCACCCCCCACTTCTGTATTTATCAAAAATAAATCTTTTATAGCTACTTTTAAATTGCAACATAACACTTTCTTTGATATATCCGTTTAATCTATTCCACAATATCACCCCACAAATCGAAATATACATACTTTTGAGTTTTGTCCGTGCATTTTGTTGTCTCATATTTAAAGCCCCTCTCAAATTATAACACCCCTGTCTATCTGTGAATAATTGTTGTATATTTCTAGGCAGCTGTTTATTTTTTGCTTTATAAACTATTTGTGCAGTTTTAAATTCTACCAGATCATTAAACTTTAAAGTATGAGATTTTAAAAACAATAAATTGGTATGCTCATAATATCCTACTTTATTTACTATCCTAATTGCTCTTTTTTGTATTGTACTTAGCGTTTGTAGGGTGGTTTTGTAGGTGTTGCCCCATACTTCAACACAATAATTTAAATATGACAATACAAGTGAACTATACAGAATATAAAGTGCTTTCTCATTCAATACATGCCTTGCTTTCGCAATTACTCCAATACTCCGTGCTACTTTTGCTCTCACATGTTTAATGTGGGGGTTCCAACAGATTTTATAATCAAGAATCACCCCTAGAAATTTATTTTCATATAATCGTTCTATTTCAACATTATTAATCATTACTTTTACTTGTGTATCAGTTTTGCGGTTTCCAAACAGCATACATTTAGTTTTATTTAAATTTATCTATAATTTATTCAAGTCAAACCACATTTTTATCTTATTAATTTCTGCCGTGACCACCTCCAAAAGCTGCTGCAGATTTTCCCCAGCACAGAAAATATTAGTATCATCAGCAAAAATCACAAATTTTAAGAGATTTGTCACCCTACATATGTCATTTATATACAATATAAATAAATTTGGACCCAAAATCGACCCCTGTGGGATGCCACATGTGATATCTAAACACTCTGATCTATGTTCCCCAATTTGTACGAATTGAAGTCTGTTACTTATGTAACTTTTCATCCAATCAAGTACAACCCCTCTGATACCATAATTTTCCAATTTATTGATTAATAAACGGTGATCAATTGTATCAAAAGCTTTTTTCAAATCTATAAATACTCCCACTGCAAAGTTCTTATTATCTATAGTACTAGTAATATTTTCAATGAACTCCATTAATGCCATGGATGTGGATCTGTTCGACCTAAATCCATACTGACTATCAACTAACAATTCATGCTTTTCCATAAAATTTTCCAGTCTATTAACGTACAATTTTTCCAATATTTTAGAGAACTGAGAGAGTAGAGACAATGGCCTATAATTAGTAAATTGATTTATTTCTCCAGCTTTGTATAATGGAATGACTTTGGCAATTTTCATTTTACTTGGAAATACACCTGTTTTAAAAGACAAATTACAAATATAAGTTAACGGTTTAACAATTGCCCCAATGATTTCTTTGATTAAAGCCATATCAATGTCGTTCCAGTCTGTGGACTTTTTATTCTTCCATTTGCTAACAATTTCAATAATCTCCTTTTCGTCAGTTGGTTTCAAATACATAGAATTTGGATTTTGTTCCATAAAATACTGATGACTCCTTCACTATGCTGTACACATACGATCTAAAATGAATCCACACATTTACACACACACACAAAAATTTAGAGTTCAGCTGACTGAATTATTATTATTATTATTTTTCTTTTTAATGGATCTCATATTGTATGTTCTATACAGGTCGAACTGAGACATGACAAGTAATGCAGTTTTTGTAATGCCATTAATTGTTATCATTTTGACAGTCTATGCACTATGATCGACCATATGTTCCTATTGGATAGAACAGGGCTGTCCAAACTCGGTCCTGGAGGTCCTGCAGAGTTTAGCTCCAACTTGCCTCAACACACCTGCTAGTAAGTTTCTAGTATGCCTATAAGAGCTTGATTAGCTGGTTCAGGTGTGTTTAATTGGGGTTGGAGCTAAACTCTGCAGGACACCGGCCCTCCAGGACCGAGTTTGGGCACCCCTGCTAGAAAGCCTGTGCCAATGTTTTGACTGAATGACTCGATTTTGATTTGGGTTTGCTGTGTTTTGATAGAGTTAGTAAATGTAGAAAAAGGTATTTGGCATTTTGAAACGTAGAGTTTGTATTTATTTAACAAAATGTGGTTTTGGCCAGAAAATTTACTATTTGGCTAATTGTGTGATGTAGGTGTGTTGCTGTGTTAAGAGTTTAGAAAAAGTACTTTAAGTATTGGTAAACGCTTGTTAGCAATTGAAAAAAACTGTAAATGATTTTTTAGCAGCAAATCAGAATATTAGAATGGTTTCTGAAGGATCATGTGAATGGAGTAATGATTCTAAAACTTCTAAATCATAGGAATAAATGACATTTTATAATATATTCAAATAGAAAACAGTTATTTTAAATAGTAAAAAATTTCACAATATTACTGCTTTTGCTGTATTTTGGATCAAATAAATGCAGGCTTGGTGAGCAGAAGAGACTTTACATTTAAAATATAAAAAATCTTACTGTTCAAAAACTTTTGACTGGTAGTGTATAGCAAAATAATGTTTCGCCCCATATACCAAAAGCCCAGTCACTGTTCTCAATCATGCCATTAACACAACAACCACATAACATTTATTTATATATATTTATTCCTCAAAATCAGTCTTCTGACATTGATGTGGCAGCATTTATTGTCTGTTGCCCTATTGTGATGGACAACATACTTAGACCATTCTTATATGGATAGATAGATAGATATTGTATGTACAAATGTACATTTTCAGTTCACTCTAATTGATTTGATAACAACGTATTACAATGTATTATTATAATTTTGAATTACATGACATACATTTTCACTTTAAAATCCCACTCTATGTGACTATTAGCCCCCACCCACAAACACTTTTTCCCCATCTCTCTCTTTCGTTCAATCCCTCTCATACTTTTACAGCTATCTAAGTTCAGAATCTGAAGCAGACAGAAGGCTGATGTCTAACTTATTCACGGCAGAAGGGCAACACGTTTGTGTCTGAGGTCTGTTATGTCTTGCAAACTTTTAATTCCTCTCTAATTCATGAAACTGAAAGATAGAAAACATTCATTGGGCAGGATCATGAGTCTAACTGCATAATTTATACTGTATACTGGTCTCATCAGTATTGTTTCTCTGTTTCTTGTCTTTCAGCTTATGGCAGGGTCTAAAGGCACAATTGGGGATGCATCTTTCACTCATCAGCAAGTCTTTAAGCTGGATATGGATGCTGCCACCAGCACTAAAACGGCAGTGGCTGTGTTAACATCTCTGTTTTTCTGTTTTGTAAACTGTGTCATGCTCTTTGCTCTAAAAAGCAAGCGCATATTCCAGGAGACGCCGCGCTACATTCTTTTTGGCCACATGCTTATGAATGACTCTGTGCTTTTGCTGGTCACAACTATTATGTACACATTGGCTCTCTCTTTTCTTCAAATACCTAAATCAGTTTGCACTCTGTTAGTCTTTATATCATACTGTACGTTCTTTAACGCTCCTCTGACACTAGTGTAGTACTCCTAAAAAGAAGTATAATAAAGATGAATAAAGAAAACCGAAAGAGAGCGCTGCAGTGATGGCTTCCTTCATGGCATGTTTACTCTGAATGAAGCACATCACCTACTGAAGCGTGCGATGACGTCATACGCAGGTATGCCAAGTGAAAATAATTAATTCAATAAATGCACATGGGAAATTAAACACTATTTAACAATATTAGAAAAATAACAATTTTATAAAATGGATTCAATGACAATATACCACCTAACCATAACTTGTATTCACTATTCAATATATCACACTAGCACTGATGTCTCTGGAGCGGTACGTGGCGATCTGCTTCCCTCTGAGGTACTGCAACATCGCCACACCAAAAAGAACTGGAATCGCCATAAGAATCATCTGCTTCCTTAGTTCTATCAATATTATAGCTGACATTATTCTTGCTTTAAGTGTCAACCCCAATTATTTAGCAGATATTGCATTCTGCACACTAGAGAAATTGTTTATAGCCAAATGGCAGATAGATAAATCTCAAGGGTTTGATGTTCTTTATTTTGTGTCTGTTGCAGTGATAATTATTTTCATATATATTAGCATTATGATCACAGCCAGGTCTGTTTCCGCTGATAAAGATTCTGCTAAGAAAGCTCTCAAAACGGTGCTCTTGCTCTTGATTCAGCTGGGACTGTGTCTCACCTCTTTCCTGTATGCAACAATAGAGAGAACACTTTACACAGTGATTGGAAGTGGCTCTTCTCTCTTCATAAATCTGAGATATTTAAATTATCTTACTGTTCTTATTCTACCGCGCTGTCTGAGTCCTCTGATCTATGGTATGAGAGATGAAGCCGTGTGGCCTTTATTTAAATATTTTTTCTGCTATTGTTCAGGCAAAGTAAGGCCCTCTGTTATCATACATTAATTGTATGGTATGAGAAGATATGTAATAATAATTTGATATGCAATGTAAATACAAAAATTATTTATAATATTATTGTATTATATATATATATATATATATATATATATATATATATATATATATATATATATATATATATTCATATAATATTGCTATATAGATACATCATTTTAAAAAGAATTGGTAATCTTAAAAAAATGAAAAGAAATGATCAAATGTTGTACCCATGTGTGTTTGTTTGGTATATGGACTGTGATTTTCAAATGTTGTGTAAAACATGTGGAGTACTGTGTACCAATGCTGTATACAAATGCATTAAAGCTCACTCTAAAATATGACATGGTGATAAACAGGTTTTGTGTCCTCAGGAGTTTTACAATTACATAATAATTAAACCTGTTAATGCCCTCAAGCAATTAGCAAACTCTGAGATTATACAAACATCTCTGCCAAATGTTTAAAGATTTTTAAAAGTGTCAGTGATGTACACATATGTGCATAATTTAACATACTATTTATTATTTATTTTTAATTTTTTCTATTTATTTTTCATGCTTTCTTTTTTTTACATTCCATCATACAGAAACAGTTGTTGACATGTTATAACATGCCTGGCAGCACTGTCTCTTGCACAAGAAAAAAACTAGAAAAAAAGAATAATGAAAAGCAGGAGTGCCATATTCTATATATTCTTTATAAAATATATGCACAGAGTCTATTTTGTGCACTTGTACACTGTTAAAGCGAGACTCATTTAGGGTTTTTGTATCTACAAACTGCACATATTCATATTTAAATAACCCACTCTTATCTGAGCTTATGTTAGAAAAGCAGTGTATTATTGCGTATTATTATATATACAATGATCCTAAAACAGTTCAGCACTGATTTGTTGAATATTTAAATTTTGTCTGTAGAGTTGAGCTTACTTATATTCTCTGTAACCTTGTATAACTTGTACAAATAAATAAATAAATGTTCTTCACTTGTTCATTCTACAGTAAAATAACTATAATAAAGCTTCCAAAATGTAATATCTAAGCCATGTGAGGTATTTTAACACAAACATTAACTGAGATGCAAGATAGTGTCAGTTGCGTTACAGGAGGAAGCCACATTTGTTCTTCCACCCGCTCCTTTCGAAAATATTGCATGTTTAGTTGTTCAGTCATTTTCACACACATGCACACTCTTTAAAAACATGTAAAAGCTAAACGACATTAGCTTGTTTTCAGAACTCCATTTCTGATAAAAACTCTTTCAGTTATTTGTCACATGCAACATTACAAACGTAACAGATTTGCAGATTATCATGAGTTGTATTGTCGTTAGTCACGTTGCGCCACTCGTGCCCGGTGTAGACTGTTTTTTGGTGTTTGCATGACAACATGAAATGCATTCTCCAGTAAACGCTATGCAAAAACCAGGGCATACACTCTTAAAAATAAAGGTGCTTCACGATGCCATAGAAGAACCTTTTTATCTAAATGGTTCCATAAAGAACCTTTAACATCTGAAGAACCTTTCTGTTTCACAAAAGGTTCTTTGTGGCAAAATAAGGTTCTTCCGATTACAAAAAGGTAAGAAAGAGATGGTTCTTTACAGAACCTTTGACAGAATGGTTCTTTGTGGAACCAAAAATGGTTCCCTGAGTAGGGAACGAGACACTGCGTCCTCTAGGGGTCGCTATGGGGAACGCCTCGCCGTGACCCGTGTCTGAAGCATACATTGAAAAAACCCCAACAACACATTGGCCGGTGACAGCCATGACGTCACTACTGGTGCAACTATAGTATAAATAGGCGCCTGGAGAACACATCATCCACTTCTTCATCCGAAGCATGGCAAGAAACCTCGAGCACGCAGTGTCTCGTTCCCTACTCAGGGAACCATGGTCACATACTTAACCTGAGACGTTTCTTTTCATGGGAACTTTGAACTGCGTCCTCTAGGGGTCACTACGGGGAACTGTATACCACCATGCTGAGGGGAGTGCATGCCAGAAACCATGGCGAGCACTAAGTACCAACTCTACCATATTGCCATGGGAGTTGCCCCTGGGACGTTAGACGGCTGTCAGTGACATTATTCCCTATGGCCAAAGGCCTAGGCTATATACCCTAAAGTACTTACATGTTAGGGCCAGAACTCCTGGGACCGGGGGTAGAGCTCAAGGCTTGGAATCAGGAATAGATTCCTTTAAGGGAATACGACCAAGAGCTTAGACTCATACTAAGTCTTGGCCTGTCACACAGGGGCTACCGCACGCTCTGCATATGCTGAAGGAACTGTCTCAACAGACCCCTAGTAGCAACACCCTGTTAAAGTAGGTATCCAGAGGATACATAGGTGGAGTGGTGCCCAAGGTGGAACCGGGGTTTTAAACCACTCAGAAAGAGCATGAGGCTGCTGCGCGTAGCTCTTACCATACAGGATTTTAGAAAAGAACACAGAGTACTAGTGTGCGAACTTACCACAGTGTGGATTTTAGAAAGTGTACAAAGACTTCACGTGCACACTTACCATAACATGGATTTTTAAATATATCGTTCTAAGGGGTTCTCGTTGCACTCTGAAAGAGCAGCCCATAGATGGAAATAGTGCATCCCAAAACACTATGTTTGAGAAGTCATCAACTCAATCTAAGGCTTAAAATGCTGGAGTGGCTAGCAGTAAATCTGTAGCTGAGGGAGCAAACATCCAGCTCTCAATCGAGAGGGAGCTCGACCTACAGCATGTTCCAATGGTCGAACAGCTAGCAGTTACTTAGCTGAGGGAGCAACACCCCCAGATCTCAAACGAGAGGAGGCTCGACCTGCAGCATGTTCCAAAGCTGGAACAGCTAGTAATAATTTACTTAGCTGAGGGAGCAACACACCCAGTTCTCAGTCGAGAAGGGGGCTTAACCTACAGCATGCTCCAATGCTGGAACGGCTAGCAGTAATTTACCTTAGCTGAGGGAGCAACACACCCAGCTCTCAGCGAGAGGGGGGCTCGACCTACAGCGCGATTGTTAGAATCAGAAGGGTAAGCGTACTGCAAGCTAGCCAAAAAACTCAGCGCATCAGAGAGGCAGAGAAAAGGCCTAGTTCGCCTGATGCTGCTGGTTCCAGGTGCTCTGGGAAAAACAGAGAACTCAACTCTCACGTGAGAGAAGAACTCATAATTCAGAAGGAGTAGCGTGCTCATAGGTAACCCTTTGATAAAGGGGGAGCACGGCTCAACAGTACCACGAGAACAGCCCATGGAGCGAGGAATCCAACTCCTCAGAGAGAATTAAACGTTCGAAAGAAAGCACCATGCTCACAATAACCCTCAATGGTGAGGGGAGTGATGCTAGTTGAGTGGAGCCCAAGGTACCAGGGTCTAAACCGACTCAGAGAAAGGGAACGAGGCTAATAGTGCGTAACCCTTACCATACAGGATTTCAGAAAAGTGGGCAAAGCATAACGTGCACACTTACCACTTATGTGGATTTTTAGAGAGTGCACAAAGCTTAACGTGTGCCCTTACCATAGTATGGATTTTAGAGTTTTCCAAGCATCTGCTCACAGATACCCGGAAGTACTGAGCCAAACGGGAGAGGCAAGCTCAAATGCAACCCTCTAAGGTGAGGGGAGCACTGCCTGAAACAGCATTACACAAGAAGGTGCTCGCAAATGCCACCTATACTTCCCGCTCGATGCCTCAGCAAGAGGGGATATCCTGGTGATTGGGAGGCCCCTCAGGGCGACCTAGATACGGTAGACCAGACAGGGCACCCTGGAAGCATAAGCCCAGCCCGGACGTCCAGGAAATGTTTGCAGTGCCGTGCTGGGGGCCTAATGATCAAGAAGGCCCCCGCAGAAGCCTGTGACCTGGCCGCATGATCCAGGAAGTATGAAGCCGAAACCCGGCTTATCGTACCGTCTGGACATATATTGACGAGTGAAATAAACACTGCAAGTCGAGCACCCGGTTTCTGAACCCAGTAGAGGGGGTGCTCACCGAGGACCTACCATAGAAAAAGGACAGAAACACACAGGTCCCAGGAGACACTGCAAAGAAAACTAGCAGAAGGATTAACACACAACCACCAGCGCATTAAATACACATATATACATTTATATATACAGTATATATATATATATATATATATATATATATATATATATATATATATATATTTAAAAAAAAAAATTTTTTTTTTAGAAATGGATCGTTCTCACACACCATGGTTCCCGCGTCGGAGCCTTGTCCGAAGAAGCCTCTGGTCCGGACCATCAGTAAGGTGGTCACTATGAAGCCATAGAACCAACCAAACATCATAGGTCCAGCATAGGAGACTGTAATGCAGGAAATTCCCACCTAACCTCGGTCAGGTGGAGAGATGGTGGTTACAGGGGAATTAGGAAGGGGAAGATAAGGGCAGATGTAAGACCCCGAAGGAAATGAGTAGATACTGAGGTATCACTCTGATTCGGACAAAAGCGTCTGTGACCCTGTCTGGATCACATCCCTTAGGTCTTTTACTTACCTTCCTTTGACCCGCGATTCTTCCTACCCCTACCCGCGGGCTCTGATCCTCAAACCGAGACGGGCCAGGACCCCTGAGTTGTTCGGGCTCAGACCTGGACCTCCTTTGATGCAAGACCCCCGAAGGTCAGCCTGATATGCTTGGTGCATCACCATCGTGTGCAATGAAGCGACAGCCCGACCTGCTGCTGCTGCGTATGCCCTGCCATTTGAGCGAGATGTCAGGAGGGAGTCTTAAGAGAGGATGTCTCACCCATAGAGAGATAGCTGGCCAGCGTCTCTCTATAGGGACATCTTCTCATAACCGCTTTCGCGCATCGCCTCGATGTTGGCATAACTCGTATGCTGGAATCGATGGATGCGTAAAGAAAAACGGCCTCTTCCATTTCTTCTCAATCTCTGTATGGAAAACAGGAAGAAAGGAAGGCTCACCTGAGCTGGAGGGTTATGGCCAGAAAAATAACGTTCATCGAGATGACCTCGCG